TTCTGTTGCTAATATTTAATTGTCTCTAAACTTGGTTTTGTGAGAAGGCACCGTGTCTCCACCTATGCTTCCATCTTGGCGGAAGTCCCCGGGTTTTCATATTTCTAGGACCACTTAGATCCCTACAACGGACTCTCCTGTGAGACTGGGAATATCTCCCACTACCACAATCACCGCAGGTTTTTACCACCAGAGGTTTTGAGGCTTTGTTTCCCCATGCTAGAACCCTTGGTTTCATGGTTTGTCTCCCTCCCCAGTTGTTCCTCCTGGTTTATCCACACACAAATGTGGGACTTCCCAGTCTGCTAGTTGCTACCTTATCTGCCTGTTCCACCAACTGCCACCTTGCTGTGCATCCCCTCCATCCTGGCTCCCTGGCTTTGCCCATTCTACCTGTCTAGATGAGTTTCTTCTTTAACTCCTTGGTTGTCTGACATCCATACAATTTGATTTTCTAACAGTTCTGGCTGTTGTTTTTTTAATTGGTTGTCCTTTTGGTTGTGCAAGGAAGCAAAGTCTATCTACCTATGCCTCCATCTTGGCTGGAAGTCCCAACTTTCACTTCTTGATTTACATAATTACCTCCCACCCCAATCATAGCCTGAAATGGTCACTTGTACACAATTTCTTAAGGAACCAATTGAATCCCATTTCAAGGAGCCATCCTTATCCTGAGCAGAGCAAGAGGTAAAACTCAATCCCAATGGAGATGAGTTTCTTGACACAATTTTGGTACATTTTTATTCAAGGTGTAAGTCATCTTCTCTACCTTCCCAGAAGCCTGAGGTCTCTATGCCATGTGGAATCCCCACTTGATTCCTAAAAATTTACTAAACTTCTGTGTAATTTCTGAAACAAAAGCAGGTCCATTATTGCTCTGGCTGCTTCTGGGTAAGACAAAGCAGAGAATTACTTCCCTCAATAAGGCTTTTACTACCTCTGAGGATTTCCCAGTTCAGTAGGATAGGCTTCTATCCAACCTGAAAGGTTATCAACAAAACTAGCAACTATTCACACCCTTGGACCCTCGGCATCTTGCCAGCCCTCAAATGTATGCTGTCCTTGGTATTGTTTCCCTTCTTTCTTTTGATGGGGATCTAACTTGGGGTTGTTTCTCTGGCACACAACACATGAAGCAATAAGTTTTGTATGGCTTTAGAAATTCCAGGACCTGTAAACCATAGTTTAATATATATGGTTAATGAGTACCTTCCATAGTGAAGGGCCTCATGCAAATGCTTAAAGACTGGTTCTACTAAATGTTCAGGAAGCAGTATAACTCTTTTTTTATTCTTTCACCATCTGCTATTAGGACCTACTTCATCAAAACATCAACTCAAATAGTGACAAGTCTAAAACAGGTCCCAAAGACATTATAAATGTTCCTTTAGCAGCCTCTTTCACTGCCCTATCAGCCAGGTTGTTTCCTTTAGCCATTTCAGTGTCCTCTTTCTGATGCCCCAGGGCAGTGCATAACTGCCACCTGTAAAGGTACCCAGACAGCTTGTAATAATTTTAAAATTTCTGCTGCATACTTAATTTCCTTATTATTGTAGGTTAATAGTCCTCTTTCCTTCCAGATTGAACCATGTGCATGCAAAATTAGGCGAGCATTCGTCAAGTTGGTATACACATTCACCCCCTTTTTGTGTAACAATCCGGTGCCCTTATCAATACAATTAGTTCAGTTTTCTGAGCAGAGGTTCTCAGCAGTAAGGTCTTGACCTATATTATTCCTTCAAGATTTGCAAATGCATATTCAGCCTTTTGTTTCCTTGTCCATATAACTGCTTCCATAGGCATATAAAGTCCAGTCTGCCTCTTCTAGAGGATAGTCCTGTAAATTGATTCTGCTAGAATAAACTTCATTAATTATTTCAGTAGTCATGCAGCAGCACAGCTGAGTCCACCTCCAGAAGAATAGAGGCAGAATTTAACTTACTTACAATTTTGAGAGAGGTGTTGGGATTGTCCAGAAGAATTGCTTAGTACCTGCCCCTTCTTCCAACAGTGATCCATAAATTTCTGTTTTGCTCCATTAGGTTCAACACTTGGTGAGGTACATGAATAGTGATAGGCTGTGCCAAGGAAAAGTTTACAGCTTCCTGTAAAAGCTCACCCCTGGACAGTGTGATTTAGTTTCCTTGACAAGTATGTGATGGGTTGCAAAATGTCTCTAAGCACTTGGGTGATGACTCCTAGGGCAATGACCTGCCTATCATGAGCCTATAATTGAAAGGGCTTTAGTAGGTTTGGAAGCCCCAAGGCCAGTGCAGAAGCCAGGTGTGCCATCAGGGACCCAAAGGCCTGAGTGCACTCCATCATCCACTCTAAAAGGGCTATATTCTGGTCCTTTCAGAGCTTCATATACAGTGGTTTAGCAATGAGCCCAAAGTTTGGAATCCAAAAGTGGCAATAGCCTGCCATAACCAGGAATCCTCTTAACTGTTTCCTGGTATTGGGAACTCTCCTCCAAATTATGGTTTCTTTTTTGTTTCCAAATAAGACTCCTTTTACCATGTTCATGCAGGAACCCAAGACCCCTTATTGCTTGTTGTCTGGGACTTCTGTGCTGATACTTTATGGTCACAAGTTGCCATGTGACTCAAGATAGCTATAATATTAGCTAAATATTACTAAAATGATCTCCCAGTAATTAAGAGGTCATCTACATATTGTAACAGTGTATCTCCTTCTAGTCTTAGATCCTTTAAGCCCTGGATCAGTGTCTCCCCCAAAATTGTGGGAGAATTCTTAATCCCTTGTGGTAAGACTTTCCAGCAGTACTGAATTTTGACCTGAGATTCCAGGTCCTGCCATTCAAACTCAAACAATGGTTAAAAATCTTGTACAACTGAAATGAAAAAAAAAAAAAAACCCAAACAAACAAATAAACGTCTTTTAAGTTCAATAATGAATAACAGAGGCTGTACCCTCTGGTATACTGTTCACCAAAATATAAAGATTCAAGACAGTGGAGTGAATGTTCTGTGAATGTTATTTATGGCTCTTAAATCTTGTACAGATTGATACTCATTTGAGTGGGGTTTCTTAACAGGCAATATGGGTGTATTCAATGGGGAATATCAAGGCTGAATAAGTCCATATTCCTGAAACTTCTGACTTATTGGGCATATTCCTTCTGGGGCCTTTCCACGGGGATACTGCCTCTTTTGGGGAGTCCCAGCCCCTGGTTTGAGATCTACTTTAACAGAGGAGGCTCATTAGCCCTCCCTGATTTTCCAGTAGCCCACACAATAGGGTTTACCCCATTCTCAAGTTCTTCTGTCCCGGGTCATTTTTCTTCTTCCTCCCATGTTTTCCTAAGGAGCTGCCAAGCATATTTTGAAGGGATCTGTAGGTGGGGCTATTGTTCTTCTGGAGAGAAATGATCTGAGCATGAAGTTTGACAGCAAGTTCCTTCCCAAAAAAGAAATTGGACACTCAGGAATTTATAAAAGTTTATAAGTAAAAACCATATTTCCCACAGCACATTCCAACAGTTTTAAGTAACACTGACTTTCAGGGCTTCTAGAAATTTCAGTTAGAGTTACAGCCCACCACGAGGACTCAGAGGTCTATTGACCATGGAATGTATCACTTTAGTATCTATTGAAAAGTCTACAATTTGTCCCCCCACTGTTAGTTTTATCTGAGATTCCTGGGGTGGGGGGTGACTTTAATGGGTTGTTATAATAATTGAACCTCTGGGCCCCATCACTCATCTTCAGAACTAATGCTTTTTCTAGCATAACTCTCAAATTCTCAGACTGACCTCCTTTTCCCTCACGTAGGACACTCATTTTTCCAGTGCCCCTTTCCTTTGCAACACATGCATTGATCAGTGGCAGGTGTTTTAGATAGGGTTGGTGCCCTTTGCCCACTGATGGAATTACTCTGAAACCTGTGCCAAGAAAATAATGGCGTCTTGGGCCTTTTTCTGTTCCCTGTCATTATAAACTTTGAAGGCAATGTTTACTAGTTGGGAAAGATTCATTCCTATTCCTCCCTTTAATTTCTCAAGTTTCTTTCTGATGTCAGGTGCACTTTGAGAGATAAAGGTCATATTCACCAATATAATATTTTCAGGGGCTGGTGGATCCAATTCAGTATATTTTTATAGGCACAGTAGATTTTTTTCAGGAAACTCAGAGGGGTCCTCTGTGAGCCTTAATATGTCTGTACCATATTCAGACTTTTCTGCTTAGGGACTCCTTTCTTCAGTCCCTCAAATATGCACCTCTTATAATGCTCTAAGAGAGGAAGGCCATTCTCTTTAGGGTCCCATTTGTCTCAGTTAAAAGCGTTGCCTTAGTAGGGCCAGGAACTCATCTGGATTTCTGTATGAAGAAATCAGAAACACTAATTTGAAAGAATATATGCAGCCTATGTTCATTGTAGCATTATTTACAATTGCCAAGATTTGGAAGCAGTCCAAATGCCCATCAGTAGAGGAGTGGACTAAAAAGCTATGGTATGTTTACACAATGGACTACTACTCAGCCATAAAAAAAGAAGAAAATGTTATTCTTTGCAACAGTATGGATGGACCTGGAGAACATTATACTAAATGATATAAGCCAGTCAGAGAAAGGCAAATATCAAATGATTTCACTCCTATATGGAATCTAGTGAACAAACTGAACTGACAAGCAAAACAGAGACAGACTCATGGCAGGCCGACTGCTCTGGGAGGTGGTTGGGAAATGGAGGGATTGAGCAAAAAAAAAACAGAGAAAGAACTCATGGACACAGACAACAGTGATTGCGGGGGTGGGGTGTGGGAAATGGGGCTAGAAAAGGATATAGGGTAGATAAATGGTAATGGAAAATTACAATAATAAATAAATATTTATAAAAAGAAAGAAGAAGATTAGATATGATTCATTCTTACTTGCTATCTCATGACCCCTCCTACTTGAAATCTCAGTTTGGAAAGAAACCTGAGTGCTATGTGCGAGAAGTGGTTTCATTTTAACTACTGACCTCCAGAGAACGATATGCCTATTTCCCCAGTTCATTTTATCTTCATCTGTCTACTTTACCAGCTCACAGGCGAGCCCAGCCAGATCCTCCTGGTCTCTTGACTACCTTCTTTATTTTGAGGATCCTGGATCCACTCTGGCTCAACTCAGCAGGCTCTGCTTCTTTATCTAATGCTTCTTTTTATATCTTATTGTTACTGTACAGGGAATAGACTGGAGCATATCTGCCTCAAGCCAGCCTGTACCTGTAGTATATGGGTTCTTGACTGTGTAAGAAAGATTTCACAGCCTGAGTACAGGTGACTTTTGTATTCCTAGGGGCAGTGAAAGGAAGGAAGAACTTATGGTAGAAGAAGTAACAGGAGAGAGCTTAGGTAATGTTCTGCTTTGGCTCCCTAGAAATATTATACAAAAGGAGTGAGCCAAGGTGGGGCTTCTCTTAGGTCACTAAGAAGTGAAGGTCTCGGTGACAGAAGTGAGACAAGGCAGAGCTGCTTTTAGCTCACTGGGAAGTCCAAAAAAAGGGAGGCTTGGAGACAGGACCAGAGGGTAAGTCCAGGGCAAGCTGTCTTCCCACTGCTCCCTCCCCTTAGAATTTCAGAGGAAGTAAAAAGTTCATGCCTGGGCAGTGGGGATAAGCATGCTCTAGAATGAGCCCACACCCAATCTTTGTCTTGAGGGTTTTTATTCTTATTCTGCAGGTGAGAATCTTAAGGAAGGGTTATAGCAGTACATTTATCAGCTTTCTAGGTGTGTTTTTAATATGGTGATGCATCAAAAATTATCATATGGGTGGTTATTCTTTGGTCTGCTTTACTGTTTTACTTTCTTGGGTTTTTCTTTACTGTTTTAATGGGGTTTTTGTTATTTGTTCCCTTTACTTTATCTGTCCATGGGTTTGGCTGACACAAATGACATTAATTGGGTTTCTGTTCTCTAGCTTCCAGACCAGGGAGATTTAAGCTGTGTATTCTCAGCTTAGGGAGGAGAAGCATGAACCATTACTCTCAAGTGTCCTTGGTTAGAGGAGATAAGATCTTGCAATTCACAAGCTGGCTGTAAATTGGGCAAACTGTTTGGCCTTATTTCATTTCCTTGTCTCAGTTTCCCTATTACAGTTACTCAGGAATTTTCCTGGCTTTTTTCTATCCTGTCACACTACAATCTCTGAATCACTGAGAGCAGAAGAAGACTGAAGAAAGAAGAAAAGGAATGACTCTGGGGACCAATTCCCTTTCTGACTGTCCTGGGGAAGAAAGGGCTGAAAAAAGTGGTGTATCAGAAAGACCTATGTCCTAATTACAATTTCTGTCACAAGTGACATAAAGAATGTAATCTTCCCTGGACCTTAGCCATCCCTCCCTTTGAGGACACCTTTAAAAGCAAGATGATATCATACAGGTGTATGTTTATTTTTTCACAAATATATATTTAAAATAACTTCTTTACATACATTTATGAGGTATCTAACTATTTTATATTTAGAAATACATTTCAAATGATTATACAAAACCGTTATATTGGTGAAAGGAAACATTTGCATTTTATCTCTTATAATCAGCCTCTATGTAGAAAGCCAACTCATATTGTAGGTACTTTATGTTTTGTGTTCTGAAGAACTGGAGACTTCTTCCACCTATCACAGGAACTCTATCTAGTCTTTGGGCATTTTACTAACCTGAGGGATCTCAGAACAGACCAGGAGCTCCATAAATTAGGAATATATTTCCAGTAATCAAACTCGTGGGGTACTTCCATGAGGTCTCCATTTGAGGACCCGGCATAGCTAATTTGCTTATGTGTGCTCCAGGCCTGCCTATAGTGATCTGCTCAAGACCACACAGTCAGTCAGCACTCCCAGTTTTTATTACTACATCATCTTGCCTGACCAAATGTTTAGCATCAACAGATTCCGATTCTCCTTGAGTTCATTAGAAGTTTGTATTTTTAGGAAGCACATGATTCTAAGCAGTTGGTCCTAAAATAGGCTCTCATTTTGTAAGCCATTTCCCTGAATGGAAGTGGTGATTGAAGTGCAACTTGGGGAAGCTGAGGTGGGGGAGGACATAGCAGGTACACACCCAAAACCTGAACTGTGGGCCTCAGGGCACAAGTGCTCCAGGAGGTTATGGGCAGCCTGTGTGGTACACTTCCATGGCAGAAAGGGATACAGGATTGTCATAGAGCCTCCAGTGGGCAGGACAGTGGGAACAGTGCTGACCCTAGACAAGGACTCCTGGGTTTGACTTAGTAGCTATGTTCTGTTCCCATTCTGAACTCAGCCTCTGAACCTTGGTCTTTACAAGTATATAATGGAAAGTAAAGCTGAACTTAAAGTATTGTAGTATTTTAAATAAAATATCAAAGACAAAACAATGATAATAATAATCACTATTTATTAAGTTCCTCCTATTTCTAAGGCATTTTCTATACAATCTTCTCACAAGTCTATAAGGTAGATATTATTGTCCCTGATTTATAGATGAGAAAACTTACACTTAGAGAGGTCAAAGAATCTTGGGCAAAATTACACAGCTAATAAGAGGGAGATCAGAGACTGAGTTTTCAAAGCTGGTGTTCTTTTTATCACACCAACCTGCCTAAAATTATAGCCTAACACCAGGAAGGTGCTTCATAAATGCATATTCAACCCGACTCTTTCTAGGAGAGCTTGTTGTGATTCCTTCTCCACCCTCCTCCCAGGTATGTGAGTCCAAAGTAGGGACTAGAAATGCCCAAGAAGAGCAAGTAACTCTGTATCCAGAATGTGAATACACCAACAGGGGCCCACATTGGCCAAGTTAAGAGGAGCTAAGGAGCAGCTCTGTGGCCTCAGTATTCTCATCTGGAAAATGGGCACAATAACTTGTCCCTTCGCAAAGACATTGTGATGATTAGATGATACAGGAGTGCTGATAAGACAAGTAAAAAACAAAAGCGGGTAAGGGGGAATCAGGAAAGTGTTGGAAAGGACCAGAAGAGACAAGAAAGAGGAGACAGGAGATGAGCAAGGATCAGAGCAGTAGTAGAGAGCATGAATGTGAACATTATGTGCTAAGATGGGAGGAGTGGTAAACTTGTAGGGCAAACTGGGAGGTTTGTAAGCCTCTTTTTCATGTACAGATAATTCCTGATTTTTGATGGCTATTTTTCAACTTTATGATGATGTGTATCAGTAGAAATTGAACTTCAAATTTATCATTTTGATTCTTTCCCAGGATAGCAATATGCAATAAAATGCTCTCTCATGATGCTGGGCAGTGACAGCCACCCACAGCTCCCCGTCAGCCATGGGACCGTAAAGGTCTACAGCCTATACTCTGCAGTGTACTGTGTTGCCAGTGTTTATTGGATTTTGAGTTTTGCATTTTTGCACCCCATCATGTCTACAAAATGCCTATTGGTGTCTCTTGCTTCTGGTGAGAAAAGGAGGAAGACAATTATTCTTGAGATGAAATATGTGAAAATGAAACTCAAGATAATCACCCAATTGTAGGCTAATGTTAGTGTTCTGTGCACACTTAATGTATGCAAGGCTAATATCCAGTGTTAGGTAAATTAGTATATTAAGTACATTTTTGACTTTATGATTTTTCAACTTATGATACTTTTATCAGGCTAACCCCATTATAAGTCAAGAGTCATCTGTACATGGCACTGATTCAAAATGCTCTTTACAGGGTACATTTGTTAAGGAGAAGTTGGGTAAAGAGAAGTAGTTTCCAAAATCTTTTTCTTTTTAAGCAGTGGTTTCCTTTTTCTGAAATAAAATCTTGCAGAGAAACAAACATGTAAATGACTCTAGTGAAGGGAGCTGAAATCTCTCTGATGGAGAGGAAGTTCCATGGACCCTGGCCAATCATCCCTATCTCCAGTCCCCAACTCCTACACCTTCCTCTAAGCTCCTCAGCAGAACACTGAGGGACTGCCACAAAACTCAAGGGTGGCAGGAGGCACTTCTTGGGAAATTCTGCCTTACGAGCCCTGATTCTTAATCTTGGTCTTCCACTGGCTTGAAATATGTCACTATAAAACCCTCAGAACATCCATATCCTCACTTATAAAGTGAGACTGAACTAAGTAGTCCCTAAGAGTCCTCCCAGCTCCATAATGCTCTAATTCTTGGTTTCCATAAGGAAGGTGCCATGTCATGGTGGTGCATTCTGATGGAGGCACAGAGTACTGGGAGAGGTGCTCAGGGACTGGGCTGGCAAGTGGGCAGTGGGCTTTACTCCCCTAGCCTGAAGTCTTTTTCCTAAGTCGCCATCCTTTGATTCTAGCTGCACTGATGATGTCCCTTCCTCCTAATTTGGCTCCCTCCCTCCACTCAGCTTCTGAGCCTTAGAGAAACCAGGTTAAAGGGCAGAGGTAATAACTCAAAGTAAAGGGAGGTAACAAAGAGGAGGAGCTATTGTCCCTTTCTCTTATGGAGGACATTTTAAAGCTGACTTCCGTGACACCAAAAATATCTGCATCTTGGCTAGAGAAGAAGGCAAATTATCTCCTGCCCAGCTTCCTTAATCTCCAAAGGCAGGTTGGCAGAGAATATTTGCTGAATATTCCCTGTGTGGTGTGAGTGACTGGTCTAAAGGCATTAGGTTCCAAACCACTTTCTGAGAAGCTCACCTTGCCAAGAAGCCACCCAAAGAAGTTTTGGGAAATCCCTGCTTCTCATTTTTAGCCATCCTTGTGAAAATGAAACAAATAATAGGAAGCTTTCTCAAGGTCTGCTCCTCATAGCACTACTCTCTGCCCCTCCCTCCTGCCTCCTACCATGTCACAGACTGCTCTATGTGCTTCTCAAAATGCTTTCAGATCCATATTCACCCTTCGTCTTCCCCTAAGTCCTGGCAAACAAAGGTTCTTTTTTTTCCTATGAAAGTTGAGAACACTGAAACTCAAAGTGTTAAGAGGTGAGGCAATAGTGGGAAAAATGTAGGCCTCTGAGACAGAGGAACTAATCAGTTTCTCTGCTATTTTCCAGTTTGGGAAACTGGGAAATTCACTTAGTATCTTGGAGCCCCGGTGTCCTCATCTGTAAAGTGGAGCTTCACCTCTATCTCACAGAATTGCTTTGAGAACCAAGAAAAATAATTCCCATTAAACTAGTTTATGAACTACAATGTGACATCAAGTGTTTTTTGTTGTAGTTATTATTATGAATGAGCCAGAATTAAACCCAGCTTTCCTGAATACCAGTTAGGCCAGAGCTCTGAATCTTTTACACCACTCCATGCATCCTGGGAGGAGAAGCCATCTCTACTCCTCCTTGTGTGAGACCCTGGGCCCCATCACCAGGTGATCTGGAGCAAAATGCCTGTAGACATTGGTTAATTCATAGCAAAATTGTATGTCCAATCACTACTCAGGGGAATATCTCTTTCTGAAGAATTTAAAGTAAAAAATAAATTGCTGGTGGATTGTCACAAGGTACATATGAGAAACAGTTGGAGACTTCCTCAGGGAAGGGCTTTGAACTAGGCTTTATGGGTCTTGAATAAAGTTAGATAAGCAAAGAGAATGATAAAGCACAAAACAAAAGTCTGTGAGGTAGATAGTAAATGAGACCAAGTGAGGAGAGAGGAGTGGCTGCTTGTCTGATGTCAGGAAGTGGGTGGCTGTCCTGGGCTTCATATCTTCCCATAGCTTCAAACGGTCATGCTGACCTTAGAGCAAAAGTCCTGGGATTCTCTCATATATGATCTATCCAGGTCACATGATACCCCTAAATCAATTACCACTCCAGAGGAAGGCTACCACTACCTGTGCTGGGTGCCCATCATTTGTACTCAAATCAACTGGATATAACAAAATGAGGAAGGGTTAAATTGATACCAAGGAGACAAGTTACACCACTCACTGCATTGATCTAGGTGGGAGGGTAGATGAGTCTCATGGGACCAAATCCTCCCTGGTTTTGTAGGTAGGCATTAGTAGTCACTCATTCTCCAGAGTCAGCTCATCCCACAGGTCGTGTTAAGTACACCCATTGTACTTTTCCCAAGTACCTGTTACTCCTCCTTTTATAACACATGTAGTTACTTATTTGATGACAATCTCCCAACCCCATGCATGTAAGGATCATGACTAGCTTGTCCCCAGTTATACTCTCAGCTCCTAAAAAGTGCCTGGAACAAATACGGAACCAAATAAATTCTTTTGAAAAGAAGGAAAGACTGAATGAAAAAAACACGACCTATTCAGACATGGTAGAATTCCAGAAAGTCACAACTTTAGGCAGAGAAGCCAGCACAGAAAGGGAAAATGCAGTTCAGTCTTGGGCAGCTGAGAAGAAAAGTTTCTTGTTTCTGCATCCCTTTTCACGGTCAACTGGAAAGAAAAAACAAAACTTGTTGGAACTCACTAGCCTTACCCCTATCCTCTGAACTCACATTTAGGAGCTAGCATGGAGCTACTTTCTTCTTTCATAACCCCTCTTCCTGCCCGGGCAATATGCACTATCATTCTTCAGTTTGACTCTAACAAAAACCTATAAATTTGAAGACATGTCTTTATGTCACCACGCAGTTCGCATTTTTTTTTACTTTTACCCTGAGGATGTAGCACCACATGTGTGAAGTGAAAAAGAATAATGGTCCAGAGCTTAAATGTGTGTACACATGGTAAAGCACTAAAGCCACATCCTTAAAGTTTTGTCACCTCCCTGACACCTCCAAGTAGGTGTATCTCCCCCAAACCTTATGTGTAGACAAAATTACTCAGCTGCCCTAAATCCAAGGATTACACCTACTTGAAGGCAAGTGATATCTAATCTTTGTTTGACTGCAAACTACAAGGTCCAGAAAAAGTAACACCTGCTTGAGTGTGGTAAATAGGGTACATGAATATCTCATAAAATGGACAGTAATTTGAAAATTTTACCTAAACTGTCATATGGTGTGCTTGAGTGGGATATTATTATGTTACAGAATCACATGCATATGATTTTGTAGTAAAAAAGGGGCATTAGTTGTGCTGGACCCTGTATTAACTTCTTCCATCTCTGTTGTTAAAGTGAAAGAATACATGCATTAACTGATCCATCAAAAATTTTTTAAAAATTGATTTCACTTGTAACATTACTGGGACTACTTTGATACCCCTTGAGATGATCAAAAAGCAACTGAAAAACCATCCTGCCTGAGTATTGAGGAAGCAGGGAAAACAGTTTTTTTAAAAATCATATTCCTTAACAGAATGACTTGATAAGGGCCTGAGGGACTCAAAAAATATATTCACTGACTGATAAATTATAAGCATAATATTTGATCATAAGAATCATCTTCAAAAACAGTACTTTTGAAAATAAATTTAAAAATTAAGTTGGCCTGGATCAAGAATCTGTAATCAAGGAACTAGGTGAACATTTGGCAGCATCAGATTCTCTTACTCTGAAGTACTGGGAGAGCAGCTTATGCATAAAGGAAGGTCACTAAAGGACATAAAAGGGAAATTGGGATTCTCAGGTCCTCTCTGTCATAAAATAGAAAAATAAATTATCCTCAAATTTCTAAGCTATCACTATCATTAGGAACTTATAACTTACCTACCAATGTTCTGTGCTGTGCTTGGAAACCACTACCCCATATCAGGCAGGCTGTTCCTTCATTACCTGCATTTAAATTAGCTCTCCCAGGAACAATGGGGATAGGAGGATGGTGCCTTAAGCAAAGCTTGGACAGTAACTCACAGTTGTCCTCCTGCAGGAATTTGTCAAGGGTGGAGCTGATTCTTGTGGTCTACCTCAGAGCTTCAGCCAGATGTCTCTGGTAGTAGGGTGGATTCATGGAGGTGTCACCCCTTTCAGGAAAATGTTCTGAACTCAATGCTTTCAAGGGAGTGGGGTTCCAAAGGGATTCCCAGGGACTGTTTGGGTTGGACTCTGAGGGTTTCCTGGAACCTTCCTAGAACCCAAAGTGAGTAATTGGTGGAAAGGGTAGGGACTCACATTTGTTTTATGATTATGTGTCTGCAGGGTCAGCAGCCTCTAAAGTCCTGAAGGATCTGGTTGGTGCCCTTGGTGGGTCTGTGACTTTCCCTCTGACACACTCAGTAAATTCGACTGACAGCGTTGTCTGGACCTTTAACACGACTACTCTCATCACCATACAGCCAAAAACAGCAAACAATCAAGACATTGTCATAGTGACTCAAAATCATAACAAGAAAAGGGTGGAGTTCCCACATGGAAACTACTCCCTGAAGCTCAGCAAACTGAATAAGAATGACTCAGGTGCCCATCATGTACAGATATATTGTTCATCCCTCCAGCATCCTTTCACCCAGGACTATGAGCTGCATGTCTATGGTGAGTGGAACCAGTTCCAAAAGTGAATGACTGCCTTGGTAAAGTAGTAAATTCCCTGATATTGAAGATGTTTAAGCAAAAGTGGGATAAACACTTGGCAAGAATGTGAAAGAAAGAACTCCTACAATGAATGAAGTAGATGTTGCTGACCCCTGAGATCCCTTCCTACTCCAAGATTCTGTAAGAGGTAGTGTGGTACAACAGATGGGTGGAATGAGAAGTGGAAATCACACAGGTCTAATGTTGGCTTCTCTATTTACTAGTTACATGGTCTCAGCCAAGTTACTTGGATCTTTGAAACTCATTTCCCATGCCTATAAAAGGGAAGAAAGTTATATCTAGCTTAGAAAAATTATCAGGTATAAGCATCAATCACACTTCTTCCCCTACAGTTTCCAATCAATTCAGAAATAGACACAAGATTGGAAGGAAGATAAAAATAGCTTTCTTTTTTTCTCTTAAAGCAAGCTAGGAGAAATATTTTACCCTAAGTCTAGAGCTTGGAGCCCATTCATTGAAGATGAAATTATAAAACAATTATTCAACCAGCTACAAGAATATCTGCCTCACTCACTGAGATGTGATACCACAGACACCAGGAGATAGACCTCCAAGTTTGCTTGTAAGAAGTAGGCCATTCACATTGATCCAGGTGTATCGTGTGTGTCTGTGTTCCCTTCTGTTGAAGGGAACAGAAGACATGCATTCTGCAGGAAAAACCAACTAGCTGGGAGCTGAGGGAGAGGCAAACCACATTTAGTGCAATATTATCAGTTCAAACCCACAAATAGAGAAATGTAGGTGATAGATGTCAACCTCTTATCATCTCAGCAATGAACCAATTGTTCATCTTTGGAGGGAGAGGAATGAACACCAAGTAGGGAGGGGGACCAAAAGTGTTATTCCACCAGAAGAGTAAAGTGAGTCTCCTCAAGGTAGCCTAAGGACAGGGAAATAGGGAGCCTGTAAAAAAGATAACATTAGCTAACATCTCAAATACATTTAACATGGTGCTAGCCATGTGGCTGCGCTTAGTAAATGGCAGCTGCATTCTTATTCGGTTGCTATTATTTCTACTATTGTTGTTGTTGTTGTTGCTATACAGCTGTAGGAAAGCAGACCTAGGTAATTCTGTTTCCCAGGTAAGAATGAGAATTCTTCTCTGAATTGCTGCTTCCTCTCTACTTTGTAGCATCTCAAAGAGATTCAGGTCCAGGGGTAAAAAAATAATTCAGAAAAAGGAGAGCTATAGGCATAATTTCCACCCTTGGTTATCCATTCTCCTTTACTGAGCACCTATCAAAACCCAAAATCACCATGGGTCTGCAGAATACAAATGGCACCTGTGTGACCAATCTGACATGTTCCATGGAGCAAGGAGGAGAGGATATAACTTACAGTTGGAAGTCCTTGGGGCAGACAACCAATGAGTCCCATCATGGTTCCATTCTCCCCATATCCTGGAGACTGGGGGAAAAGGATGTTACCTTCATCTGCATGGCCAGGAACCCTATTATCAGCAACTCTTCAAACCCCATCTTTGCCCAGAAGCTCTGTGAAGGTGACCATCTCTCCTCTTTCTCCAAAAGCCTGTAGTCTCAGGACCTATAACCTCTTTAGCTACTGGTTCCCATGGGAATGGGTCCTGTGTAAAAACAGGAGACCCCTGGGAAGTCACCAGACTGGGAGGAAAGTGGAAGTTGCTCCAAAAGTTGGGTCGTTTTCCCTAGCTGACTGTTTTTCCTTCCCTGTCCCTCCACCCATTTTCTCTTTAAAGGTGTTTCTGGTAACCTATATTCCACCATGGCCCTGAAATTCCTGTGGATTTTTTTACTTCCCAGTGTCCTTGTACTGGTGACAGTTATTTTCATTACATGGAGACAAAACAGAAAAGGTATAACATGTACCATTTTTTTCTTACCCTCATTCATGCCTTTTCTAACTCATTTGTTCAGCAAACATATGCTGTGTGCCAGACTTAGTACTAGGCATAAGGATTCAGAAATGAAAGGGCCATGGTCTCTGCCTCAAGGAGAATAACCTCAGCCTGCACCCTCAGTCCTGGAGTAGAGAGGGTGTTTGAGTCCTTAACTAAAGCCAAGATCCTTCTAGTTCCCTCTCTAGTCCCCACCCCTTTCAGAGATTGGAAAGTAAAGTAATGAGGGTAACTAGTTTATCCTGGGATTTTCCTGGGGTTAGCACTAAAAGTCTCATGCCCTGGAAAATCCTTTAATTACAGAGACACCAGTATAATTGATCACCCTAAGTAGATTGTCAGATGAGGTAGAGGGACAATGGAGATAGTGAATGGAATGAAGGGCCAGCTCTGATTCTCTACCAACTTAGTTACAGAGTCCATTGAAGAGAATAAAATGGACACTCATCAGGAAATTCTTAACTACTATCCCCTGTCTGGAGAGACCTCAGAGTATGATACAATCTCTAACCTTAATGTGAGTCCATTCCCACCTTTCCTGGAGTCTTATCCTTCTATCTGAGGCACTTCTTGTTTTACTTGAAATTTTCCCATGTATTTGGACAACATGAGAGATGAGAATGTATAGCCTTTGAAACCCAATACATTTCTGTCTCCTCTGGATCTTTATGGATTCTCTCTCATGCAGAAGCCAGTGCACCTGTGGGTCACCTGGTTCTGACCCAACCAATAATGCTCACACTATGGCCTATGGAATCACCTTTTTCCTCCACAGTTCATAACAGCTACTCAGCAGGCCTGATCCCTTTAGCATATGGGGTCAGTAGATTGGATTTAGGGATGCTTTTTTAAAAATTTTTTTATTTAGTTATTTTTCAAGTACAGTTTTTTTGTCTATTTCTCCCATCCCAGCACCCCCCCCCCCCCGCCCCGTCTCCCCACCTCCCTCCCATTTCCTCCCACCCCCACCCCAGTACTCATCCCTGTGTCTTTCATACTTGTTACTCAAAATCCCTTAGGGACGCCTTTTTCTATGAGGCAACTCAAAAAGCCATCAGGGAAGGACTCAAATGGACCACAGTGGCTCTGGGCCTACATTGAGTTTCCCAAGTGTGTGTTATCAAGCTGAAGTAAATAAACACAAGGGTAATCCAAAGGAAACTCTGAAGAGAATAAAAATAAAGTGTAAAAGTAGCCAAATAAACAGAGGCAATCTGGAGGCATGAACTATGTAGACAACTTCAAAAGTCTCCCCAGGAACAGTCATTGTAGTCCAGGCTGGAATAGCTCCTTAGAGGTCATAATGAGAGCACTTTTCTGCATAGGCCCACTTAATTTAAAAGGAAAAAAAGAACATTTTGGAGCCTCAAAATCCCAGTTTTACTCCTGCCCTTGGTGTCTCTGAATCAGGTTGCACCTTCCTACTCTTACCTGCAACTTTTCCAAAAGGAGACATTACATTTCTTCTTCAAAGTTAGTGTAAAAGAGTGTTTTTTTCCTTTCCTGTAGGGAGAATGCTCTGGGCTCCACTCAGACTGGCCTCAGTCCAAGTTGATCACTTTACGTTCATGCCCCACCCCCACCTCATTCAAGACACATTCCCAGAAGACCACAGAACTGGATAGCCTGGATGTTCAGGAATATACTTCATTTCCAAGGATATTTTTCTCTGGCCTGGAAGGAGCTTACATTATTGCTATTATTGTTATATTGTTTTGTTCAGTACCATCAGTCATCCTTGGTGATTTGTTCCAAAGGCTCTTTTGACAGATGGAAAAGTTTATTTGCAACATTAGCAATACTACTTCAAATTATCCTTTAGTTACCTTAGAGGCTCATAGCTCATGTGACTGATATATTTTTATTTATTTATTTATTTATTTTTAAACTTTTTTATTGATTATGCCATTACATTTGTTCTATTCCCCCCTCCATTCCCCTCCTCCCTGCATACCCCTCCCCCACCATTTCCCCCTTTAGTTCATGAACACGTGTCTCAAATTCTTTAGATTCTGTATTTCCCCTACTATTCTTACCCTCCCCCCTATCTATTTTCTATCTACTGTCTATGCTACTTATTTTCTGTACCTTCTCCCCCCTTCTCCTCCTCCCACTCCCCTGTTGCTAACCCTCCATGTGATCTTCATTTCTATGGTTCAGCTCCTGATCTAGCTGTCCTCTTAGTTTGCTTTTGCTTTAGGTGTGGTTGTTACTAACTGTGAGTTTGCTGTCCTTTCACTGTTCATCTTTTTTATCTTCTTTTTCTTAGGTAAGTCCCTTTAAGATTTCATATAATAAGGGCTTGGTGATGATGAACTCCTTGAATTTGGTGTTATCTGAGAAGCACTTTATCTGTCCTTCCATTCTGAATGAAAACTTTGCTGGATAGAGCAATCTTGGTTGTAGGTCTTTGGATTTCATGACTTGGAATACCTCTTTCCAGCCCCTTCTTGCCTGTAAGGTCTCTTTTGAGAAATCAGCTGACAGTCTGATGGGAACTCCTTTGTAGGTGACTGTCCCCTTCGCTCTTGCTGCTTCTAGGATTCTCTCCTTCATTTTAATCTTGGCTAATGTAATGATGATGTGTCTTGGTGTGTTCCTTCTTGGGTCCAAGTTCTTTGGGACTCTCTGAGCTTCCTGGATTTCCCGGAAGTCTATTTCCTCTGCCAGAATGGGGAAGTTCTCTGTTATTATTTGTTCAAATAAGGTTTCCACTCGTGACTCTTCCCCTTCTGGTACCCCTATAATTCGAATGTTGGAACATTTAAAGATGGCCTGGAGGTTCCTAAGCTTCTCCTCATTTTTCTGAATTCTTATTTTTTCATTCTTTTCTGTTTGATCATTTTTTCTTCCTTCTGGTCCACTCCCTTGATTTGAGTCCCAATCTCCTTTCCATTACTATTGGTTTCCTTTGTATTACCATTCATTTCAATTAGTTTAGCTTCCATATGTTTCTCTAATTTGTGACTAAAATCAACCAGTTCTGTAAGGATCCTGATAACCAGTGTTTTGAACTGTGCATCTGAAAGACTGGCTATTTCTTCATGGCTTAGATCTATCGGTTCTGGGGCTCTGAGTTGTCCTAGAGCCATTTTTGGTCAATTCGTGCCGTTAAGTAAGTGGAGCGAAGCCTTAGTTGTTTACCAGGACGGGGCAACCCTGGTCGCTGGTTTGTGACGCTATATGTGGGGGCGGGGTCAGAGAGGGAGCAATGGCGGTCCTCTCTGCTAGCCCAGTCCGTCCAGTCACACCACTCGCCCCGGGGCCTGTTTATCCGATCGGAATTGTGTGAGCCTGCTGCCCCGCGCAGGCTTCCCTCCTCACTGGTTTATCTGCACACAGATGTGCCCGACCGCAGACAGCCCACCGCGCCTCTTCCCTGTGTGCTCCCGTAGCTAGCCCGCGATCAGCGCCTTCGGCTGCTCGCGCACCGTGCACCACCCATTCAGGGATTTTTTTTTTTTTTTTGCCAACCTGCTCCGCTGCTGGCTTCGCTCCTCTTACCGGTTTAGCTGAGCATTTAGTTGTCTTTGGACTCCGTATTGTCGATTTTCTGTGTGGCTTGGTTGTGTTTATTGTTGTTAAAAATAGTTGTTCTTAGATTTGGTTGTGCACAGAGGCAAGGTGGTTCCACCTACGTCTCCCTATATTTTTAAATTCATTTAAACACAACACGCTTTTAAAATAATGTAATTATTTCCTTAAACAAGTTATTAATAATTATAACAATCATCTACAAGAGCACTTCCCACTACTCATTTCTCTTCCAGAATCCTCTATCCCTCTCACCTTCTTTCCCCATCTCTGTTTTCCTTTCTCTGGATTCTAGACATCTATTTGGTCTTGTCTATGTGATGCAGGCAGGGGTAGATGATGATTTCTTTTTTTGTTTTGTTTTTGTTTTTAATAGAAAACAATTCCAGAAGAAAATTCTGTAAATATGGTTTATTCTGTAATACAATTACCCCAAAAGGTAAGACACATTAGAACTTAGTTTTATCTTAGTTGTTCCATCACTTTTTGTAGTTCAAGCTTAGCTTAAAATGCCTTGGGCCCCAGGGACCTCATATTCCCTGGCTTGGAAATAAAAGGTCCCCAGAATGGCCCCACTCATTTTGCTTGGAGAGAATAGAAAGGAATTGTGTTTCAGGGGTCAAATGGGGGTAATGCAGAACAACTAGGGTAGGAGACAGTTTCTAGGTAGGAATAATAGGAAAATCAGCAGGATCCTGAGGGCATGAATGGGGTCAAGGGCCATGGTTAGGCTGTGACTGTGAGGGAGGGACAGTTGTAAAGGAGATTCTAGCTTGCTTCTGACCCACACCAGTAAACTGGAAGCAGAAAAGATTTCCTTTGCTTTTCCACATTCTACCTATGTTACACCTGTTTTGCATACTCCCTGTAATCTAGCTACTAAGGTAGTAAGCCTTTAAATCTTATTTCTTCATAGATCACACTTGGCAAAAGTAGTGACACCTCCTGTCTCCCCTCCCAACTAGATCAGAAAAGATGAGAATGGGTAAAGCAGTTTGCTAATAGGAAAGGTTGGTTCTGATGGATTATTAGAAGCAAAGTTCAGTTCACTAAGCAATCAACAAGATAAATATGGGTTAACCTTATGGAATAGTTTCTCTAAAGTCAAAGTGATTAAACAGCGGGGGCAAGCACAATGGGAGGCTTGGGTTGAATAATCATGGCAGTGAAGAGTATCTGGAATGGAGGAGTCACTTGTTGGGGATTCAGAGCCCTGCCCCCTTTCACCACTCTGCATTCTTGTGTCTTCTTAACAGATGGAGAAAATCCACTCACTGCCTGCATCACCAGAAACACCAAGGCAATTTATCTATAAGAACATCATCTAAACAGTAGCGTACTCCCTCTTATCTCACCCCAAAGAAAATAGTTAAAAGAATTCCCTGACATGACAAAAAATATTGAGGAAGATTGAAGAACATTGACTTCCTTCCAGGATAACTGTTGTTTCTGCTCCACTGCTGAGAACTCTCCTCAAACTCAGAATATGTAACTAAGTCTTCCTACATATATGATTGTTAATTTATCAGCCAGTCTCAGGCAAGGAGCTTAGAAGTGTCTCTTTTGAAATGTCAGTGCAGTATCAAACAAATGAATGGTGGCTTCAACCCAGGGCTTGGAAGTCAGGAATATTCCAAGGTTCTGATTGTCAAGAGGGCAAAAATGTCAAAACAAGCAGATGTTCTCAGCAGACAGAACATCCAGAAATAGATTTATTAATTAATTCATTAAGTATGTGCCTGACACTGTGCTGAGCTCACACAGATTTTAATCAGTCATACACTTTTCTCTCATGAAATTTGTCCCTCATGGACTATTCAGGCAGTCACAGCAGGCCTGACCACAGATTCCCAGCACCCAAGGAGTCAGGTGTGAATCCACAGGACTTAGGGTTCAAAGGACAGAGAAAACAGGTTGAAGACTAGATTTGGAAACGCAGAAGTGTGCCTGACCCAAGGACAAGGACCACTGCTTCAGTTACATTTATATTCTATGCTGAAAGTGAAAAGCCCAGGCCTTACGCCTGTATAGGAGCTCATATCATTGGAGAAACTGAGTGTGAAGACACATTACAAATTCATTATGGGAGACTTAGAGTCAGGGTGTGGTCAGTTAGAAACCTTTAAAGTTGATAAATTAATTCAACCAATATGTATTGAGTATTGTAGACCACTCTGCCTGGTTTCAGGAATTGTAACTCTACCCCCTGTGGCTAAGGATGAGGGAGCAATGACCTCTGCAATTCCAGCCACAGAAGACAAAGCTTGTCTCTGGTAGCAAATGCGGCCTCAGTTTCCTCTCTGCCCCCAAAGCGTGGTTGGAAGTCCTTGACAGATAAGACCCCTCAGAGGAGGGGCAACCTAGGCCAGACACAATCACTTAAAAGGCCATCATGGAAGGACTCAGGGGGCTACAACAAAGAGCAAGGGACTCTCGCCCCCCAGCTTTTAAAAAAAATTTTTTATTTAATTATTTTTCAAGTATATTTTTTGTCTATTTCTCCCATCCCAGCCCCCCCACCCTGTCTCCCCACCTCCCTCCCATTTCCCCCCAGTCCTCATCCCTGTGTCTTTCATACTTGTTCCTCAAAATCCCTCCCCATTTTTCCCCTTAAATTCCCTTCCCTCTCCCCTCTGGTCACTGCCCACTTGTTCTCTATTTCAGTGTCTTTGTTTTTATTCTGTTTTCTTGTTTGTTTTATTGTTTAGCTTCCTGTCAAAGGTGAGATCATATGGTATTTGTCCTTCAATGCCTGGCCTATTTCACTCAGCATAATGCTTTCCAGTTCCATCCATGTTGTTGCAAAGGGTAGTAGCTCCTTCTTTCTCTCTGCTGCATAGAATTCCATTGTGAATATGTACCACAATTTTTTGATCCATTCATTTACTGATGGGCATCTAGGTTGCTTCCAACTCTTGGCTATTGTAAATTGTGCTGCTATGAACATTGTGGTGCATAGGTTCTTTGAAATCGCCCCCAAGCTTTGACAAAGCCCGAGTCCCCATGTTCCCTGGGAGACTGGTTCCTGGCTCTAATCCCCTTAAGCCTGAATACCTGATGGGGAGGGGTGCAGCTCCTTGCCTTGATAGAGTGCGTCCCAGGGAAAAATCTGGAATCACAAAGACTTCCTGATAAACCTGTGAAATCTGCTTTGCTAAGAGTGCTTTCTTTCATATGTTAAGGGTCCAAGCAGGAAACTCTAAAACTCTCTTCCAGACAGACTCTGACTCACACTAAGCCCTCAGATTTCTTTTAATGTTATCTACTATTTGATCCTTGCTGGCCTGTATTCCTGTGTATTACAACCCAATAAAAGCCCTTGGAGGAAGGGTCTTGATGCCTTTTTCTCCTGAGAAACTGGCCACTGCTCAAGGCCTTTTTCCTCTGGAAAACTGGCCACCTTTTCTCCCCAAGCAGATCATATCTCAGTCATGTTTACTCTCATCCATGGCACATGGGGGGACTTGCCAGGAAGGTCACCCCCACAATTGAGAACCTCTGAGTCAGTCTGGCAAAGAAAGGTAGACATCAAAAGAAGGGTTTACCTTCTTTTGAATGAAATGAAAAGCCTGGGGTAGAGGAGTGCTGGTTTTGATATGTTCCTAGATACATATCTTAAATGAAAATGTTGGGAAAAGATGTGATGTCCCTGGTCTCAGGGTATGAAATGTCAAATAACAACAAAAAATTATATTTGATGTCTTTCATACAAAGGAAAACTCTCCATGGATTGGGGCAGTACTGTGCCTCATAAATAGTGGAGCACTCTTCTCAAAAATTTTGGGCAAGAAAGAGTTTTATAGAGCATTAGAAGAAGGGATGAGAAAAAAAGGTAGGCTGGCTAGGAATTTGATAGTTTCTCATCGGACCAGCAGGTTCAGTCTTCTAGGGTAAAGTGAGGCGGCTAGAGCTTAGTTAAAGGATTGTGATTGGTGTATATTAAATTTCCTTGACAAGCATTTCTTATTATATTCAGGCTGACTTAGGTTTAGATTAAATTTAGATTTGGGTTGGATCACTGGGGCAACCTCCATTTTGTGGGTCTCAAATACCAGTTAACTTATCTGAACTAAGGTGCAGAAATGTGTGTTAAAACTTTTGAAAAGAGAAAGTATTTGATTAAAAAAAAAGTTTGGACTTCCACCAAGATGGAGGCATAGGTGGAAACACTTTGCTTCCTCACACAGCCAAATCTAAAAACAACGAAGTTTTAACAATAATAAATGCAACCAAAACCACAGAATATCAAGCAATATGGAGTCCGAAAACAAGGAGCCTCTCAGCTAAACCAGTGAGAGGGGTGAAGCTAGCAGCGAAGCAGGTTGGGCAAAAAAGATCCCCCAACCTGGGCGCTGCACAGGCAGCCGAGGGCGCAGATCCCAGGTGTGGGGTAGCTATGGGTGGACCCAGGGAAGGCGCAGCGTGGCTGTCTGTCTGAGGTCTTGCATTTGTTTGCAGATAAACCAGTGAAGAGACAAGCATTGAAACAGACCATGCAGGCCCAGCTCAGGGCGGCGGGGCTCACACATTTGCGCTCAGATAAACAGGAGGGGTCGGGTGGTGAGGCAGACCTGGCCAGCAGAGAGGACAACCATTGCTCCCTCTCTGACCCTGCCCCCACATACAGTGTCACAAACCAGTGACCTGGGTGGCCCCGCTCTGGTGAACACCTAAGGTACCTCTCCTCATATGTAACAGGCACAAACAGATCAAGACATGGCTCAAGAACAACTCAGAGCCCCAGAGCCAATAAATCTACGTGACCAAGAAATAGCCAAACTTTGAGATGCATAGTTCAAAATAACTGGTGATCAGGATGCTCACAGAACTGGTTGATTTTAGTCACAAATTAGAGGAACATATGAAGGCTAAATTAATTGAAATGAAGAGAATTGTACACAGGAAACCAATAGTGATGAAAAGGAAACTGGGACTCAAATCAAGAGAGTGATCCAGAAGGAAGGAAAAAATGACCAAACAGGAAAATATGAAGAAACAAGAATTCAAAAAAATTAGGAGAGGCTTAGGAACCTCTAGAACATCTTTAAACACTCCAACATCCAAATTATAGGAGTACCAGAAGGGGAAGAGGAACAGCCATGAGTGGAAAACTTATTTGAACAAATAATAAAAGAGAACTTCCCCATTCTGGCAAAGGAAATAGACTTCCAGGAAATCCAGGAAGCTCAGAGAGTCCCAAAGATGTTGGACCCAAGAAGGAACACACCAAGGCACATCATCATTACATTAGCCAAGATTAAAATGAAGGAGAGAATCCTAGAAGCAGCAAGAGATAAGGGGACAGTCACCTACAAAGGAGTTCCCATTAGACTCCTTTTGAGAAATCTGTCGGCCGATTTCTCAAAAGAGACCTTACAGGCAAGAAGGGGCTGGAAGGCAGTATTCCAAGTCATGAAAACCAAAGACCTACAACCAAGATTGATCTATCCAGCAAAGTTTTCATTTAGAATGGAAGAACAGATAAAGTGCTTCTCAGATAACACCAAATTCAAGGAGTTCATCATCACCAAGCCCTTATTATATGAAATGTTAAAGGGACTTACCTAAGAAAAAGAAGATAAAAAAAGATGAACAGTGAAAGGACAGCAAACTCACAGTTAGTAACAACCACACCTAAAGCAAAAGCAAACTAAGAGGACAGCTAGATCAGGAGTGAACCATAGAAATGAATATCAGGTGGAGGGTTAACAACAGGGGAGTGGGAGGAGGAGAAGGGGGGAGAAGGTACAGAAAATAAGTAGCATAGATGGTAGATAGAAAATAGATAGGGGGGAGAGTAAGAATAGTATGGGAAATATAGAATTTAAAGAACTTGAGACACGTGTTCATGAACTAAAGGGGGGGATGGTGGGGGAGGGGTGTGCAGGGTAGAGGGGAATGAAGGGGTGGAAATAGAACAAATATAATGGTATAATCAATAAAATAAAAATATATTAAGAAATGTTTATATATAAAACAACCAAGGTAACGAATAATAGATCTTTAAGAAAAAACTAAGAAGAAAGAGACCAAAATAACAGTCTGAGGCTGCTGATTTGTGAGGAAATGAATGTAAAAAGAGGCAGTTCATTAATTCTAAGGAACCTGGAGGAGGGCTGGTTTGGCCTCCACATGGAGCTGTGCAGGTGTAGGAAAGAAAAATAATTTTTCCTGTAACCATCATGTTCTTTGCTGAGACACCCCTGTAATAAGAAGACACATTAACAAGAGTAAAAACATGTTTAATAATGTGTACATGGAAGATAACCAGGAAAACTGAGTAATTCCTCAAAATGGCCATCAGTTTAAATATCATCTACATCTAAAG